TTTTTGTAACGGTACCGAGCCGGGTCGGGCGGACCGACGTCCCGGATTTGATGACGGCCGTTGGATCTCAAAGGATATAAGGATCCAACGGCCAGGATTTTTTTATTTATTTATTTTTTTTTTGAATTCAGACCGTTGGGCCCGGCCCGGCCCGCAGCCCGGGCCCAACGGTAACATTTCTGTCAGCGCTCAACAGGTGTCAGACGGGTCGGGCCGATCCAACCCGGCCCGACCCGAATAATAAAATATTATTTAAAAAAAAATCCGTGGTTCCAAACCCGGCAGCGGGCCAACCGGTCCCGGCCCGGCCCGGCCTGCCGGGACAAAAAAAAAAACCGTGACCCTTAACCGGACCGGATTGACCGCAGTCCGGTTCTATAAACCGGCATGAATAGTGCCGGTACCGGGCCGGGCCGGTACCGGGTCACGGGTCGGACCACTCGTGGCCATGTCTATATGGAACGCACTGTTTGAAGGCAGACACTGTATTTTTGGTGATGTAGCATGACTATTGTGGAGCGCAGTGTTTGAAGGCAAACAGTGTATTCGACAGTAACCGTGTAAAAATTTTGGAACCGTAAATAAGAATGTAATTACAATATTTATATTTTAAAAATTAAACTATTATGTATTTACTTAATACATACAAATAACATAATTTTTATATTTTAAAATTACAATGATACATAATTGCAATTTTCATATATTTAAAAAATTATACTACTTTGTATTTACTTGATCATTTTTTATCGTTATTAAATTTTTTATCCAAAATTTATTCCTAATTTTATTATATATATAGTTTTGGGAAGATGAAAGCTATTTTTTTTTTTTTCTTTTTAATTAAATATTTTGATTTTCCTATTTTATTCATTTAGTTTTGGGAAGATGAAGGCCATTTTTCCTTTTTTAATTAAAAAATAAATGTAATCAAATAATTAAAATCTCAAAACTGGAATTTTAATATGTTTTATCTAATGAATTTGGTTAATCTTTTATAAGTTGTTTTATCATTTTTGAAAGCTCACGCGCGACCTGACGCATCTGCGTAGCGCCTGCGAAGATCTCGTGCGCCGCCCGCAGCGCCCCATGTTCTTCGCGTGCATCTGTCAATGCCATGTTCTCCACGCGCGTCTGTCGGCACCTGCAACATCCTCACGCGACCCACAGCGCTGATGCGGAAGTGGGTTCCGAGCCCCGACGACAGGAAGATTCAAGAGGCGTGACGACCCGATGAGGCTGGAAAAAGGGCCAAAACGACGCATGCATGGCCTAAAAGACGG